TGGAGAACAGTATGGAAGTTCCTCAAAAAACTACAAATAGAACCACCATATGATTCAGGAATCCCGCTACTGGGCATTTCACCAAAAGAAAGGAAATTAGTATATTGAATAAATAGCTGCACCTCCATGTTTATTGCAGCACAGTCGATGATAGCTAAGTTATGGAATCAACCTAGTCCAGCAGCAGATGAATGAATTAAAAAAATGTGGTATATATACAACATGGAATACTATTCAGCCATAAAAAAGAAATGAAATTCTGTCATTCATAGCAACATGGATGGAACTGGAGGACATTATGTCAAGAGAAATAAGCTAAACACTGCATTTTCTCACCAATATGTAGAAACTAAAAAAAGTTGTTCTCATTGAAGTAAAAATTAGAACAGATGATACTAGAGACTAAGAAGGGTTGGAGGAAGGGAAAGATAGGGAGAGATTTGTTAAAGGATACAAAATCACAGCTAAATAAGAAAAACAAGGTCTAGTGTTCTATACCACTGTGGGATGGCTATAGTTAACAATAATATATAGTTTCGGTTAGCTAGGAGGAGGATCTCAAACATTCCCAACACAAGGAAATGATAAATGTTTGAGATTATGAATATGCTGATTAGCCCAATGTGATCACTATACACTATATGTATCAAAACATCACCATGTACTTCATGAATATGTACAATGATTATTTGTCAATTAAAATTTTTAAATAAATGTTAAAATATTTTGAAAAACACACACACAAAAATGATCACATTTGAGCCCTATAATATTCCTGCGAGGTAGAGAATATTTAGCGTAGGATCAGAGGCAGGCCACAGAGATGTTAAGTAATTTGCCTAAGAACACACAGTGAGTAAGGGGCAGAAGTAGGATATGAACTCAGGTCTGTGGAAACGCCAATGTTCTTTTGTGGATGGACACTTGAGAGCATGTTATAAGAATGTGGGCAGGTGTCAGGGGATGGGGGGAGGTTTACTTTCTTTTCTGCCATCCCTACCCCTTAGCTCTAGCCAAAGTGGGTCTCTCGTCTCTGGGTCCCAGAGAGGCCATCTTCCTTCTTATTCCACTTATCTCTTTCCCTGTACCCCCTCCCCAAATCTTTCCTTCTTAGATTTCCTATGGTTCTCAGAAGCATCTATATATCTCCCCTCAGAGCCCTCATGTCCCCAACCTGACTCTAGATTTTTCAGCTTATTTTTCTTTATCTGGCCCGATCTGCATGTCAAATCTATGGCTCCCCACCACCACAGCTTAGCACAGGGCTAGGCCCATGGTAGAGACTCAGACTGTTCCCATTGCTTCTCCTGATGACAGTGATGAGCCTTGAGTCACCAGGGACCCATCCATCCATCCATCCATCCATCCATCCATCCATCCATCCATCCATCTATTAATCCATCCATCCATCCATCCATCCATCCATCCATCCATCCATCCATCCATGCCATCTATCCAGCCAGCCATGTAGCCATCCAGCTATCCATCCATCCATCTATCCATCCATCCATCCAGTCAGCCAGCCAGCAATCCATCCATCCATCCAGCAATCCATCAAGCACTCCATCCATCCGTCAGCTCATCCATCCATCCAGCTAGCCAGCCAGCCAGCCCGCCAGCAATCCATCCATCCATCCATCCATCCATCCATCCATCCATCCATGCAACAAATATTTAAGGACCTACTATGTTTGAGGCACCATTCTAGGTATTTATTTACATCAAAGAATAAAATCAAACAAAAGTATCTGCCTTATGGGTCTTATAGTCTAGGGAGGAAAGAAAGACAACAAACAATAGATAAGTAAATTACGGAGTATGTGAGAAGATGATGACTAAGGGAAAAATAGCATAAGGTAATGGAGAATCCAGAGCCCATGGGGGACTTTTAGGCAAGGCTTGAAGGAGCAAGTGAGTGATTCATGGGGATATCTGTAGAAAGAGTGTTCTGGGTGCTGCAAGTGGCAAGTGCAAAGGCCCTGAGGTAGGTGTGTGCCATTGTGACTGGAGCAGCATGACCTGAGAGGAGTGACAGGAGAGGAAGTCAGATTGTGTAGAGACTTAGCCACCATAAGGACATGGATTTGTAATCTGAAGGCAGGGGTAGGAGAAGCTAAAACGTACTCCCTCCCAGATCGTTGTTTTCCTGCTTCTTTTCATTCAGGTTTCAACCAAAGCTGTCTCTTCGGGGAGGCCATTCCTAGGACAACCTTACTTAAGTGGCACCCTCACACTTTACCATGCACTTCTTATCACGACTACCATCTTAAATCTTCTTCATAGCATTTACTGCCTGGAAATGAGCTAATGTGGATTTTCTTGATTCATGTGTGGAAGTCCCTTGAGGGCAGGTCTCTGTCTGTCTTCTTTAGTACAGAATCCTCAAAGCACAGCAGCCAGCAGCCTGTTATCTCCCCATTACCAGCCAGTTAATAGCTGATGTAGCCCCAGAGGGCTGGTTACCGGCTCATAAACCTGTTGGGAAGGCAGGTGTATGCTTTCTGCAGAAATTCCACCCTACCCCTACTCCAGCTGCCAACGTCCTCCTAACACCCACCTAACTAGGGCATGAGAAATTAACCTCAAGTTATAGGAAGCTAAAAGAAGCCATTTTCAAAGCTACATCCTTTCCCTGACCCTGCTGCCTCTCAACTAGGTCATCAAAAATAAATAGCTCTTTTCCTAGAAAGAAAAGAAACACGTGGTGTTGCCCTGCTGCTCCAGTCAGAAATCTGTATTACCTAGAGACTTCTAGGGAGAAAATAGGGGGGAAAAAAGGAGAGAACAAGCTAGGTACTTGACACAGATTTTATCATTTAGGCCCCCAAATGAGCCTGCAATGTAATGTTAGGAGACCCATGTTATAGATGAGGAGACTGGGGCTCAGAGGGTAAGTAATTTTCCCTGTCTCAGTATTAAATGATGAGTACAAGGCAAAGGCAGAATTCTATCTTAGGTCTGCCTGACACCAAAGCCTCATGCTCTTTCTACATCTCTATGCTAACCCCTCAGCCTTGATTCAGCATAAAAACCTATTCTGAGGACTGAAAAGAACCAGGGAAAGGAAAAAGGAACCCATCTTGAAAGGGCTGGGGTTTGCTGAGAGCCCTCTCAGCACTTACGCCAGAGGAGCCATCCTGGGCCTAGCGTTGCCCAAGCAGAAGCATCGTGTACCTTGGTCCCAGGGCATGCAGGACAGACCTGTCCTCCCCATCATCAGGGCACATGGAGCAACTCTGAGGGCCAGCTCGCCAGCCTGGGTGCTCCACAGGGAGTCTCCAGCTGCCTGCCTGACTGCCTTCCAGACTAAACATTCCCTCTCCCAACTCTCCCTGCTCCGTGGGGGCAAAGTGTCCTAGGAGAGTCTTAGCAACAGAAGTGAAGGATAGTTTACGTGTGTCTATGGACACCCTTGGGAGAGAGGCGGGCACGTACCCAGGCTTACAAACAGGCTGCAATACACACACATAGGGGAGACCAGCCCAGAGCCACAAATCTCACACACACACACACACACACACACACACACACAGTCAAAGGCAAAAATGGTTATCTCTGAACACTGATAATGAGAGGTGGGCCCACATGAAATTACAAACACAGAAATACTCAGCATGGTATGCCCTAGACTTCTGGACTCCAAGAGGGACATGTAGGCCTAAATGTGAATACACATTCACACAGTCGATGGGGCTCCATTTTGGAAAAAAGGGGAAAAAAAAAAACAAACCTGTGAATGTTTCCACTGTGTGCTGCTTGTAAAAATTCTGCAGCCTGGAGAAATGCCCCTGAGTTGTGTGGCTGTGTGTGGGCTGTCAGATAAAGTGGGGATCATGAAAACAAACAGCTCTGAGAGCATGATGATGGGGAGGCAGCGCTCTGCTTACAGAGTTAGGGGTGGGGGTTGGGTACAGGTCAGGATCCCCCCAGCAGTGGACACAGAGGGAGCTGATGGGCTTACTGTTTCAGTTTTCTGAAAAACAAAACAAACCTACCCTATGTGGTTGCTTTGCTAAGATTCAATGTAATGAGAATTTGAAGCAGGAGCAGGGTGCTAACACATCACATGCCCTCAATAAAGGGAGGCTGCTATGATTAAGTTCACAATACCTCTGGTAATAAAGGGACATGAATCATTTCATTGCCATCTTCAATGCTTCCCCTTTTAGAGCTGATTCATTATGGCTCAGAAATACTATTACTAAAAATGCATTTCATATATGTGTATATGTATATAACGAATGTGTAGCACTGAGTGCCTCACCACTGTTTTGCGTTTATTATTGTTACTAAAAATGCATTTCATACATGTGTATATACATATGTATGTATGTATGTATACTCTGTTAAACATTGCCTAAGACATTACGTATATCTTACTTGGCTTTTACAACAACCATATGAGGACGTACTATTATTATCCCCGTTTTACAAATAAGGAAATAGAGGCTCAGAGGAGTTCAGCAAGTTTTCCCAAGTCAAAGCATTTGTAAATAGAGGAGTTTGAATATGAACGTAAATCCATTTAAGTGCTAAAAACTCTGGTCATTATATATATATATATCATATATATGGTATATACAGTATATTTTTACATATTTTAGTATATTATATATACATTTTTATATTTAGTACACATATTTGTTATTGTTGGAAGTCAGCCTGAGCAGGTGAGTGGCACTAGTAAGCCCAGACTTTCAGGCAATGAGTATAAAATACCCATTCTGAGCTTCCCTCAGTTTGGGGCAGGCAGCCATCTGTTGACTCCATCATGGCTCCTCTCTTGGGCATAATTTTGAGCATGAAGTAATAGCACTGGGGGTGGGACAGAGTCATAAAGAAGAGTACCATGTTGGGAAGTAAAAATGAAAGTTTATGGTGGCTAGAGAGATCTTTAAGGAAAAGATCCAGAAAACAGAAGGCACATAGGGATTAAAGAAGGAAAGTCCTCATCACAATCCTCATTGTGACCTGGAGGGCATGACCATTCACTCTATGAAGTTCTAGGGGAAATTCCTGACAGAGGCCCTGAGCAGAACAGGAAAGTCAGAGCTACAGAGAAAACGCCTCCACCAGCATGACTTATGCCATTGGCCCATAAAACTGGGTCCCTCTGTCCTCCAGTGACCAGATGTGTATGTCGAAAAGACAGCAGGACATCAAGAATGAGCCCTACTGTGAACTATGGACATTGGGTGATAACCACGAAGTGTCAATGTAGGTTTGTTGAATGTAACAAATGTACCACACACTGGTGATATTAATAGCAGAGGATGCTGTATGTGCAGGGCCAGGGGCTACATGGGAATTCTCTGTACTTCTGCTCAATTTTGCTGTAAACCTAAAACTGCTCTATACAATAAAATTTATTAATTAAAAAGAGAGAGAGAGAGAAAGAAAGAAGGAAAGAAAGGGTGTGGTAGAGCCAAAAGAAAGGCACACACTACCATCGCATCTGAGGATTTTGTCTCTGTTATGAGCAGCCAAGGGGTTTCCAGGAGGTGTCTCATGGGCCGCTAGGAACTGGGCTGGAGTGGAGAGGAACAGAGCCAGCAGAACCCAGCCCCCTGGGTTATCTCTTCTTCAACCCCCACCAGATTTTATTTGCTTTATCAACTGGGCTTCTGCATCAACTTCATTTTAAGAAAGTTGTGATGCCAGCCTTGTTTTAAGGCCTTCTGCACCAGAGGCTCCACCATGGGAAAGACCACAACCCTCTTTATCTGTACAGCACCCTGCGGTTCTCGAAGCTTTTTCATGAGAGGGGCCCTGAAGGAAGGGAGCTCACCCTCCAGTCCTACTCTTAGGTTGGGCATATAGAAAGTGCTAAAACATTATTTATTGCATGAATGAATAACTCATTTGCATTTTACAGCAAACCTGTGAAAGTAGACGAGGCTTTAGGTTTTAGGTTTTTATTTAGGTTTTATCCATTTTACATTTACTGAGTTGCTTACAATTGGTTAGGCATTGTAGTAAGCACTTCACATGAATTATGTCATATAATCCTCCTTGAAACCTTTGAGCTATGTAACGTTATTATGGATGAAACTGGGGCACAGACAGGTAAACTAACTTGCCAAAGGTCATATAGCTAATTAAAAGCAGATTCCAACTCTGGCTGCTTGGTTCTTGCCCACGATGAAAAGTTGTTTTAGACTCAGTGAAACCTGGGTTGGGAGAGTTGTAGCAAGCCCTGCAAGTCCTGGAGAGGATTGGCCATAGAAGCCAAGTTCAGATCCCCCAAACTGCTCAGACCCTCTCCCATATCATCAAGACATCATTTCAACAGTCTGATTAGGGCATGAGATGGCTGCTTCCTCAACTACCTAGCAAACACAAGACCTTTCCAGCCTGGGGGCAAGGACAGCCCCTCCTGAGATCTGTCCATACCCAAGGCCTGCCTGATGCAGTGGTGGTGGTAGGGAAAGGAAATAGGAAAGCATATTTAGAATGATAATAAAAGCAAGACAAAAACATGATTTTTTCCCCTAAGGCCTCACACTCCCTCCATGTCCTCAGCTCAAACACTGGGTAGACCCTAGTCGGTTGTGGAAATTTGCCAGATGGGTCCCTGGTGTGGTTTGTCCCCACCAAAATCTCCGCTTGAATTGCATCTCCCTGAATTCTCAAGTGTTGTAGGAGAGACTCATGGGGAGGTAATTGAAATCATGGGGGCCAGTCTTTCCCATGCTATTCTTGTGACAGTGAATAAGTCTCACGAGATCTGATGGGTTTATCAGAGGTTTCTGCTTTTGCTTCTTCCTCATTCTCTCTTGCCGCTGTCATGTAAGAAGCACCTTTTGCCTTCCGGCATGATTCTGAGGCCTCCCCAGCCATGTGGAACTATAAGTCCAATTAAACCTCTTTTTCTCCCCAGTTTCGGGTATGTCTTTATCAGCAGTGTGAAAACAGACTAATACAGTAAATTGGTACCAGTAGAATGGGGTGTTGCTGAAAAGACACCCGAAAATGTAGAAGCCCTTTGGAACTTGGTAACAGACAGATGTTCAAACAGTTTGGAGGGCTCAGAAAACAGGAAAATGTGGGGAAGTTTAGAACCTTCCCCACATTTGAATGGTTTTGCCCAAAATGCTGATAGCCTTATGGACAATAATGAGGTGGTCTCAGATGGAGATGAGGAACTTGTTGGGAACTGAAGTAAAGGTGACTCTTGTTATGTTTTAGCAAAGAGACTGGTGGCATTTTACCCCTGCCCTAGAGATTTGTGGAACTTTGAACTTGAGACAGATGATTTAGGGTATCTGGCGGAAGAAATTTCTAAGCAGCAAAGGGTTCAAGAGGTGACTTGGGTACTGTTAAAGGTATTCCATTTTATAAGGGAAGCAGAGCATAAAAGTTTGGAAAATTTGCAGCCTGACTATGTGATAGAAAAGAAAGACCCATTGTCTGGGGAGAAATTCAAGCTGGCTGCAGAAATTGGGATAAGTAGCAAGAAGCCTACTATTAATCCCCAAGACCATGGGGAAAATATCTCCAGGCCATGCCAAAGACCTTCACGGCAGCCCCTCCCATCACAGGCCCAGAGGCCCATGAGGAAAAAATGCTTTCATGGGCCAGGCCCAGGGTTCCTGTGCTGTGTGCAGTCTAGTGACTTGGCGCACTGTGTTCCAGCTGCTCCAGCCATGGCTGAAAGGGTCCAATGTAGAGCTTGGGCCATGGCTTCAGAGGGTAGAAGCTCCGAGCCTTGGCAGCTTCCATGTAGTGTTGAGCCTGTGGGTGCATAGAAGTCAATAATTGAGGTTTGAGAACCTCCATCTAGATTTCAGAAGATGTAAGGAAATGCCTGGATGTCCAGGCAAAAGTTTGCTACAGGGGCTGTGCCCTCATGGAGAACCTCTGCTAGGGCAGTGCAAAAGGAAAATGTGGGATGGGATCCCCCATACAGAGTCCCTACTGGGGCACTGCCTAGTGTAGCTGTGAGAAGAGGGCCACCATTCTCCAGACCCCAGAATGGTAGATCGACCGACAGCTTGTACCATGTGCCTAGAAAAGCCACAGACACTCAACGTCAGCCCATGAAAGCAGCTGGGAGGGAGGCTGTACCCTACAAAGCCACAGAGGTAGAGCTGCCCAAGACCATTGGAATCCAACTCTTGCATCAGAGTGACCTGGATGTGAAACCTGGAGTCAAAAAAGATCATTTTGGAGCTTTAAAATTTGACTGCCCCACTGGATTTTGGACTTGCACGGGCCCTGTAACCCCTTCATTTTGGCCAGTTTCTCCCATTTGCAATGACTGTATTTACCCAATACCTGCACCCCTATTGTATCTAGGAAGTAACTAGCTTGCTTTTGATTTTACAGGCTCATAGGCAGAAGGGACTTGCCTTGTCTCAGATGAGACGTTGGATTGTGGACTGTTGGATTAATGCTGAAATGAGTTAAGACTTTGGGGGACTGTTGGGAAGGAACGATTGGTTTCTTGAAATGTGAGGACATGAAATTTGGAGGGGCCAGGGGTGGAATGATATGGTTTGGCTGTGTCCCCACCAAAATCTCAACTTGAAATGTATCTTGCAGAATTCCCGTGTGTTGTGGGAGGGACCCAGGGGTAGGTAATGGAATCATGGGGCTAGTCTTTCCCATGCTATTCTCGTGATAGTGAATAAGTCTCACTAGATCACCCCTAATAAACTGAGTTTATTAGGGGTTTCTGCTTTTGCTTCTTTCTCATTCTTTCTTGCTGCCACCCTGTAAGAAGCACCTTTCACCTTCCACCATGATTCTGAGGCTTCCCTAGCCATGTGGAACTGTAAGTCCAATTAAACCTCTTTTTCTTCCCAGTCTTGGGTATGTCTTTATCAGCAGCATGAAAACAGACTAATACAGTCCCTCTCACCCAGGAAGGGGCTGGGCTGAGCCTGGAGAAAGACACGGAGGTGCTAAGTGTCCAGGCATTTAGGCAAGTAGGCCTGGGCTCTTACGAATGCATCCATCCATCCACCCACCCACCGATTCATCCACATCCATCCATCCATCCATCCATCCATCCATCCATCCATCCATCCATCCATCCACTTATCCATCCATCCATTTGCTGGAAATGGAACAAGTGCCCACATTCTGCTGCTCTGAAGCTGATTGACCTCTAGGCTTCCTCCCTAAGACTGATGGTCATATGAGAACCAAATATTAACAGGCTGTGACAAAGCTCTTCAAGCTCTATTGCACGTTACCTGTGAGAAGTTGTTTCTGCTCTACCTGCATTATAAAGCAGTAAGAGATTTCTGAGACTTCAAAGGGAATTCATTGTATAGAAAGCTCAGAGCTGCAACTGTAGCCCACATCTACGTAGCAAGAATGAGCCCATGGCACCCATTGCCTTAGGCAAAATCTGATTTCCCCATCTCTTTATTTTCCTCTTTATTCTGACTTCCTCATCCACATATAGGTTATTGTCTTTTGTTAACTTATATGTTTTAAGTCTCCTCAGATCCTTTTTTGGAATCAAGTTGAATCATAAAAGAAAAAAAAATGATTGAATTAAACTAATGCAGATGAAATAAGGAGGGTATTTATTTCAGGAACTGAGCTGAGCTCCCAAACTGGGAGTTCAACCATTCTCTGTCACCCCCACCCATGATCCTGGGGATATGATTGCTATCAAATGAAAGATTGACTCTTTCTAACATTCTTTCTGCCCAAGGAATGGCAGCACTTCAATTAGCACCTAACAGTACTGGTTTTGGGCATCTGATGGAGAGCCCCTAGCTTAGTGTTCTCATTGTAAAATTGGGATTATATTTGCTCCTAGCCTGCAAAACTGTTCAGAGGATTAGTTGACCTCTGCATGTAGTAAGGGCTCAGTTATGGTCAGCTGTTATTCCTGGTAGATTTCAGTGATGCTTGACTTAAACAGAGGTCCAGTCTTGGCACTAGAGCCAATATGGACCCACTGAGCAACTCTTTCTACCTTTCTCTCAAGCTTTGAGTGTAGAGTAGAAACTTTGAGAACACAGAGGCTTGCACGGCCAATAATCATTTGTTCAATTGATTCTAGATATTTAATGGTAATAACCTCCTCCCTCCCCAGTTAAGGCTGGGTGAGGCATGCAGTGGTTAGTCTTCTCTGCCAAGCCCTTGGGGTACACATGATTCCTGTCTTCAAGGCACTTAGTGTCTCCAGGAAAGACTAACCAACCACAGCACCAGGATGAATGAACTGGTGATGGCTCCATCTTGCCTTTAGACCTTTGCCTATGCTGTTCCCTTACATGTAATACTTTTCCTTTCCTTCACCTCCCTTCACCTGCTCTTCTTCCATCTCTACCTCTCTCTCTCCCCTCTGTGGAAGGTGTTCATTGTGTTTCTACAGACTCATTCTTGATGTATTTTGTATTCCTTTTTCTTCCTCCCCTCCTTCCTCTCTTTTTCAATTTTCAACTCTCAATTTCAAGTTTTGTTTCAATTTTTATATTTGGAATTGGTTACTGTCTTTCTAGTAGTAAGATAGATGGCTAAAATATGCCTGCAGCTTATCTTTAATTAACACATCTCACAGTGTTATTTGCTTTCAAAAAGGCCTGCACTGGTGTACTAGGCAGAATCATGCCACCTAGAGATGTCTGTGACCCAATCCCCTGAACCTGTGAATAGGTACATTTATGACAAAAGTAATTTTGCAGATGAGATTAAATTAAGGATCTTAAAATAGGGAGATGATCTTGGATTATTCAGGTGGGCCCAACGTAATCACAAGGGCCCTTAAAGATGGGAAAAGAAGGCAGAAGAATGAGAGAAGGAAATGAGACCATGAAAGCAGAGGTCATAGTGATGCCAGTGATTGCAGCTGCGGGCCGCCAGCCAAGGAGCGTGCGCAGCCTCTAGAAACTGCGGAAGACAAGGAGATCGATTCTCCCTCTAGAGCCTCCAGGAGGAACGCAGCCCTGCTGACACCTAGATTTTCAACTCGTACCTCCAGAAAGTCATTAATTTGTATTGCTTCAAGTCATAAAGTTAGTGGTAATTTGTTGCAGTAGCAATAGGGAACCAATAGAGCTGGCTCCAAAAGAAAGGGAAGGAAACCTGTTTCTTACAGAAGTATTTCCGTTTTGTAATGTCAGTACAACTAGGTTTTATGGGAGTACTTGTGTGTGAGTGTGTGGGACTCACCCGTATGGCATATGGCTATCTTTTCTCCTCCAGATCATGGTTGACACAGGACAAGTTTCCCCAAAATAAATAAACACTGTCATTTCAATTGAACCTTTGTGTGGAGATAAGTTCACATCCCAAAGTGGACTTGGGCTGCAAACCCCTTCCTCTGAAAAACATCAAGGGCATCATTGTGTTCATGCACTAATAAGCACTGCAAGGCAGTGGATTTGCTTTTCTTGTGCTTTCTTTTCATAGTGGCATCTGCTGAGCTTCAGCTGGCATCTGGACATGAGAGGACATGATGGCAGATGAGAGGATCTGACACCCAAGGAAGGAGGCAGTGGTCTGAACAACATCTTACCACTTATGAACACACCTATGTTCATGCAGTGAAAGCATGAGTTCTGTTTATTTGAACAACAGAGCTCTGAACAGCCCCCAAGCAGCCCATTTGCTCTGCTGGAATGCAGAGCATGCTAGTGCAGAGAAGTCTTTGAGGTCAGAGCTGAATTTGAAAATTGCCTGCTATTGATGGGTAACCAGGGTTGTTATTGTTTTTTCTTCAGCTGTAAAATGGGAGAATTGGGAGAGGTTCTGGTTTTGCACTGAGATAATGCATTGATGTGCACAGCACAGTCCCTGGATCAAAGTAAGCCATCAATACACAGTAGCTCTTGGGACTGCATTTAGCCTCCTGATCTAGCATAATAGTAAGAATAATAAAGAAGCAAGACTAGGGTTCTGTGGTCAGTTATCTTGTTTGAAGAATCTTTGCTGAAATGTTTCGAAAGGACATGACATATTTTTCTTCTTGGTTCCCTTTACACATGACGCTTCTCTTCCAAGCTGTGATTATGAAGTCTGTAATCTGAGTTCCCATCTCAAATCCTGCTCCATGAGTCTGTTTACTTCCCTGTCCCTCAAAAGCATTCTCAGCCCAGCCATACCCATTCATTAAAGACTTTAAGACTGACAATGAAAAGAGCCGAGCCATGAGTGGAGACAGTGTGCAAGAAGTAACTGCTTACTCCTTCCTTTGGGGCAAGGAGTACAATCAGCTGATGTGTCAGGAAGCCTGCAGTGTTGGGTTAAGTAGCAGTCAGATACATTTAAGTGGAACTGGCCCGTCTTCCAGCTGCAACCTCAGATGACAGCTATCCTAGCTCCACTTAGAAAGGCAGTGCCCCTTCTGCTCACCAGTGAGCTGCCTTCCCCAGAGCTCATAATGGCAAGGTGGAACAGAGCTGGTCCCCAGGCCTAGTAGAGCAAGAATAGGGCAGCTAGGGACCAATCATTCTGGTTTTCCTCTGAGCCAAGAGGGCTCGCCATTTCAAGGGCAGATGGTGGAAAATCTGAGAAAGAAGTTAGGATTGAGGGTGATAGCCACCTGCATGAGCCTACGTACAGTAAGAGCAGAAGATCCAATTGGAAAGGATGGTAGGAGCCATCTCCACTGCACCTTCTTCAAACTCCCCAGGGACACAAACTGAGAGCAGCTCTGTAACCAGTGTGGTTACAGAGCAGGCAGATCAGAGCCCAGCTGTGAGCAGACCCTTCTCTTTCTTCCCTGTCCTGAGAGCTGACCCATATGGTGTGGAAGGTGCATGCCAGCCGGAACAATGCATCTCCAACTTCAGAGTGTTGGAGAATCACTTGGAGATCCTGTTACAATGCAGATTGTGAGTCAATGGATCTGGAGTAGAGCCTGAGTCTCTGAATTTCTAAGATCTCAGGTAAGGCCATGCTGGTGGCCTGCCTTTGGGATTGCAATTAGCCTGATAACAGGCTAAAGAAAAATAAAAAATAAAGGATAATATAGAAACAAGATGAGGTCTTGGAGGAGTTCTGGGTGTCATATCTCTTGGCAGAGGTAATTTAGAGTGCTTCCACTTCCAAGTGACCTTTGGGGTCCCCCTCTGTGGGTACTTTGAAGAATTAACAGGGAACAGGACAGAGCTTGGAGATTTGGATGAGACTAACATTGAGTGCCTGCTTGGAACAGCAGGAAGAGCAAAGGCAAGGAGCTGGGACTAGGCAGAGTTTAGCTGAAGCAGTTGGGAGGGGCAGGTGAGGAGAGGGCGGTTAAGGGAGGAAAAAGTGGAAAATGGAGAAGTGAGGTCAGCAAGGAGCACTGGACACTGAGTCAAAGCTCTTACTCTCAGCAGCTTTAACACCTGGGGCAAGCTGACGCCTCTGAGCCTCGGTTTCTTTATGTATAAATGGGTAGTGTAACATTTAAGCCTCAGGATTGGGGTGAAGGTTAAATAAAGCAACAAATGTGAAAACATCCAGCAAACTACCTGACATGTAATAGTATCCAATATCCAATACATTTGAAATAACAAACCGGTAAGTAGGCTCAGGCTTTGCAGAATCTTGACAGCCAAATAAAGGAGTTTGGCTTGTGCTGCCAAGAAGACAGTCACAGATTATTCCTAACTCTGCAACAAAGCAAGCTCCCCCTAGGGATCTCTGCTTAACTGCCTCTGAGTAATTCTGAGCACTTAAGTGGAACTCAAACAGATAAAGTTATATAATTCAAAACCAGTCTTGAATGCAGACCCCTCACTAATCCCGATTAATCTTTTGCCTCCGTCTGAAATGGTATGATTCCACAGGCCCCTGGATTTCCTGGAGTAATCCACTATTCCTCTCTCCTCATCGACTCCAAGATGAGCAGCAGGTTGCATCGGACTGCATGTTAATAGGATGTCCCAGGGAAACAACACAACCCACGCCCAAATCCTGTCCAGGGCCTGGAGTACCAGGACCTTCCAAATCCCAAATCTGATGAAAAGAAATGACCCATTTTTCAAGGACCTTGCTAGAAGCCCTTAGAAAAAGGCTGCATTGAGAAAGAGTCCTTTCTAGGCAAATAAAGGAGGTCAAGGAAGCAGTGCTGCTGCCTATGCCAGGAAGGCTTTGTGGAGTCCTATGTCTACTCTCCTCCCCACTAACCCTTCCATCCTCACATGCTCCCTTGCACAGGCCTCAGCTAAGTAGAGCCTATGCAGCTTTTCATGACTTTCTTTTTTAAAAAAATAGTATTTAGCAATGGTTTGGGGCCCAGAAACTTAAACGTTTCCACTGAGCCATTATTTTCCTGCAGTATATGTTTTTAAAATAGATAGAAGCAAAGCTTGCATTTCACAAAAAGACAAGAGGAAACGGTAAATACACTTAGGATCAGTGCAGAGGAGTCTGTCTTCCTTTACTCTCCTTGAGAGAGGATCTTAGGTGGTGCTGGGCCAGATGATCAAGTGCTTCTCCCCCAAAACCAAAAGCTCTAGATGAGTTTGGGGGTTGAAGGGGCAGGTGAGACACATCAGAATCAGCTGTAGGTATTTTTTCTTTCCTAAGTAAATATCCCTTGCCCTAACTTCTCCCCTGGACCTTTCAAAAAACAGGCAGCAGTCCAGTGTAATGGCTAGAATGTGAGCCCTGGACACAGGCTATCTGGGCTCAATCCCAGCTCTGCAACTCACCAACTAGAGGCCTTCGGTAAGTTAACCAATGTATTAGTCCATTTTCACGCAGCAGATAAAGATATACCCAAGACTGGGAAGAAAAAGAGGTTTAATGGACTTACAGTTCCACATGACTGAGGAGGCCTTACAATCATGGCGGAAGGCAAGGAGGACCAAGTCATGTCTTACATGGATGGCAGCAGGCAAAGAGAGAGCTTGTGCAGGGAAACTCCCATTTTTAAAACCATCAGATCTCATGAGATTCATTCACTATCATGAGAACAGTGCAGGAAAGACCCACCCCCATAATTCAATCCTCCCACCAGGCTCCTCTCACAACACATGGGAATTGTGGGAGCTACAATTCAAGATGAGTGGGGACACAGCCAAACCATATCAAACAACTTCAGTGCCTTAGTTTCTTTACCTGTAAAATAGGGGGATACAAGTGCCCATCTCATGAGGCTGCTACAAGTGTCAAAGGAGTTAATAGCCATGAAGTAGTTAGAGCATTGCCTGGCACAAAGCAAGATTCAATGATTTAATGCATCCCAAGTCACCAATATCTAATATGTCCCCAAACTCTCAATCCTAACTGCTCCTCTTGCAGTTCCCCATTCCCATAAATGACAACTCCATCCTTCCTGTTGCTTGGGTTCCAATCCTTGGAGTGATTTTTGACTCCTCTTTTTCACACTCTATATGCCATCCATTAACAAATCCTATCAACTCTAGTTTGAGCATATATTTAGCATCTGGCCATGTTTAAACGCACCACCACTGACCCCCCAGTCCAAGCCACTGTCATCTTTCATCCTGACTGTTGCAGTAGCCTCCTCCTACCCTCACCTCCAGGCCCACAATGTCTTCTTCTCACAGCCTCTAGAGTAATTCTTTAAAAACATTTAAGTCACACAATGTTTCTCCTCTGCTTAAAACCCTCCAAAGCCCCCTATCTCACTCACAGTAAAATCCAAAGTTCTTCTGGGCCCTAGAAAGTCCTATATGATACAGCCCCACTGCCTCTCTGATGCTATTGCCTACTTCTCTTCCCCTTGCTCCCTCTCCCCCGGACACAAACTCTTCCTTGCTGTTCTTTGAACATGCCCAGCATGCTCCTGCCTCAGGGCCTTTGCACATGTCATTCCCTCTGCCCAGAACACTCTTCCCTCAGAAACCTTATAGCTCCCTCCCTTCCTTCAGGCTCTACTCAAATGTCACCTCATCAGAAAGGCCGTCCTTGAACCTCCTATATGACACCTTCCATCACTTACTATACCCCTTTCTTTGCTTGAATTTCCTTTTGAGCCCTTATTACCAGTTAACATCATACACCTTTGTTCCTCTGCTTTTTTTCCTCTCTCCCTGCTTTAGATATGCTGCTGTAATATAGCAGCAGCCTAGTCCCTTTTCTCTTTTGCACTATTTCTTTTTCTTTTTTTTTGAGATTGAGTCTTGCTCTGTCACCCAGGCTGGAGTGCAGTGGCGTGATCTTGGCTCACTGCAACCTCTGCCTCCTGGGTTCAAGTGATTCTCCTGCCTCCACTTCCCAAGTAACTGGGACTACAGCTGCATGCCACCATGCCAGGGTAATTTTTTGTATGTTTAGTAGATATGGGGTTTCACTGTGTTAGCCAGGATTGTCTGGATCTCCTGACCTTGTGATCCACCTGCCTCGGCCTCCCAAAGTGCTGGGATTACAGACATAAACCACTGTGCCTGGCCCTCTTTTGCTCTATTTCTAGTCTCTAGAAACATGCCTGGCACATAGTAGGTGTTTACAACTATGAATATCTCCCTCCTTCCATTTCTGTCCCCCTCTAACACAGCTCCATGCTGCAGCCAGAAGAATCTGCTTACAATACAAATTTTAAATTTTATAATGCTCCTCTGTCACTCAAGAACTGCCAGTGGACTCCCCTGCTGCCCACAAGGCAAAGCTACTATGTGACATGGAAGTCCTTTTGTGGTCTGGTCGTAGGTAACCTCAGCCCTCTCTGTTGCCATCAGTTAACCCTCTGCCCCTGGAGCAGAAATATGTCATTGCTCCCTGAGTAATTATCCTTTGCTCATGCTGGTCCCTCAACTTGGAATGCCCTTCCTCCCTTTCTCTATATGTCAGACTCTCACTGTAGTGGGTTGAATGGTGGCCCCCTAAATGATATGTCCACCTGGAATCCATAAAAACGAACAAATTTGGAAAAAGGATCTTTGCAGGTGTAAAGTTAATGATCATGAGATGAGATTATCCTGGATTAGGGTGGCCCCTAAATCCAATA